TTGGAAGCGGTTTTGGTGGGTTTTGCCACTGGAAAAGCTTTTCTTTTGCTGCTGGTTCCTCCACCCCCGGGAAGCACAAGGAGTCGTGTGAGGAATCCCCACTCCTGGCACAACTCCAGCTGCCTCCAGGGGCCTGGAAGCAGGAGAGGAGGGTCCTGGAAGGGAGGATGGAGACCCAGGTGCTCCTGTTGGTGCTCCAAGGGAGCAGATTCCTGTTTGGGACCCCCCCCCAGCAGTGCCCCCCAGCCCCGTGGGGCACCCTAGGGCAGTGGGAGACCCCCCAGCAGTGCCCTCAAGATCCCCCAGCAGTGCCCCTGCTGCCATGAGGGACGCCGAGGGGAGAGGGACCCCCCCAGAAGTGCCCCTGACCCTGTGAAGGTTCCCCCCAGCAGTGCCCCCCAGACCCCCAGCAGTGCCCCTGAGACCCCCAGCAATGCCCCCAGTGCCCTTGAGACCCCCAGTAGTGCCCCCCAGCCCATGGGGCACCCTAGGGGAGTGTGAGACCCCCCAGCAGTGCCCCTGAGACCCCCCAGCAGTGCCCCCCAGCCCCAGGGGGGGGTCCCTGTGCCCTCTCCCACCCCCATCCCTCCCCCCCCAGAGCTCTTTGCCACCGAGGGGTCCCACCTGCGCATCCTGAGGGTCCTGGACCTGCTCTTCTACCAGAGGATGAGGAAGGAGAACCTGCTGTCCCGGGAGGAGCTGGGGCTGCTCTTCCCCAACCTGCCCGACCTCATCGAGATCCACAGTAAGAGATCCCACCCCCGGAATTCCCCCCCCCTGGAATTACCCCCTCCCTGGGAGCACAGGGTGGGCTGAGGTGGTGGGGTCACCCCTCATGGACCAGCTCCCCACTCCAGCTTCTCCTTTCCCTCTCCCCTTCTCCTTTCCCTCTCCCCTTCCCTTTCCCTCTCCCCTTCCCTTCCCTTCCCCTTCCTTCCCTTCCCCTTCCTTCCCTTCCCTTCCCAAACCTTCCCTTCCCAAACCTTCCCAAACCTTCCCAAACCTTCCCTTCCCAAACCTTCCCAAACCTTCCCAAACCTTCCCAAACCTTCCCAAACCTTCCCTTCCCAAACCTTCCCTTCCCAAACCTTCCCTTCCCCTCTCCTGGGATTCTGGGGCCCTCTGGCCCAGCCCCTGGGTGGGTGTCCCTGGTGACCCCACTCTGGTGTCACCTGATCCCAAATCTGCCCCAGATTCCCTCTCGGAATCCATGAAGAAGCTGCGGGAAGAAGGACCAATCATCAAGGAAATCGGGGATCTCATGTTGTCCCGGGTGAGGAGGGGGAACAAGGGCCGGTTGTCCCCTCTTTAAAGGGGGTGGAGGAGCTTGGGGAGCCCCGGGGCCGAGTTTTGGGGGGTCCCTGATCCCGGTTTCCCCCACAATTCCCAGTTTGACGGCCCTGCCAAGGAGGAGATCCAGCAGGTCGCCGCCACCTTCTGCTCCTACCAGTCCATCGCCCTGGAGCTCATCAAGACCAAGCAGCGCAAGGAGACCCGCTTCCAGATCTTCATGCAGGTCTGTCCCTCCTCTTCCCAAGGGAATTCCCACCCCTGCATCCCACTTTGGGATGTGTCCCAGCCTCTCCTCTCCCAATCCCAACCCCAGGAGGCCGAGAGCAACCCGCAGTGCCGGCGGCTGCAGCTCAAGGACCTGATCATCTCGGAGATGCAGCGGCTCACCAAGTACCCTCTGCTGCTGGAGAACATCATCAAGTTCACCGAGGGTAGGGATGGGGCTCATCCCAAGCCCCTAATCCAGAGTTTGTCCCAGGGGGGCTCATCCCAAGGCTCCTCATCCCGAGGTTCCTCATCCCGAGGTTCCTCATCCCGAGGTTCCTCATCCTGAGGTTCCTCATCCCGCGTCCTCCCGTCGCCGTCGTGTCCCCGGCGAGGGTTTCCCACCCCTGGTGGGATGTTCAGAGGGGAATTCCAGGCTGGTGAGGGAGGAGGATGTGCTGCTTTTCCAGCTGCTTTTCCAGGGGGAAGAATGAAGTCAGGGGTAGTCCTGGAGGTGGGAATTTTTGGTGGGAGAATTTCCCTCTTTAATCCCGGAGGAAAAGGAGGCTCAGGGGGGACCCTCTTGGAGGTTGTGGCAATGTGGGGGTCGGGCTCTGCTCCCAGGGAACAGCAGGACGAGGGGAAAAACGGCCTCAAGCTGTGCCAGGGGAGGGTCAGGTTGGAAATCAGGAGGAATTTCCCCATGGAAAGGGTGTTCAGGCCTTGGCAGGGGCTGCCCAGGGAGGTGGGGGGTCCCCAGCCCTGGAGGTGTCCAGGGAAGGACTGGATGTGGCACTGAGGGACAAGGT